AGAAGGGAGGGAAGGAAGGAGGGAGGGAAGGAAGGAAAGAAGGAAGGAAAGAAGGAAGGAAGGAGGGAAGAGGGGAGGGAGGGAGGGAGGTAAGGAAGGAAAGAAGCAAGGAAGGGAGGAAGGAGGGAAGAAGGGAGGGAGGGAAGGAGGGAGGGAAGGAAGAAAGAAACAAAAGAAGGAAGGAAGGGTTGAATGGAATCCTTTCTTTCTAAATGAATTGAATATAGATCTAAAGTTTTTGCTGGGCAGCTGCCTTCATATTTCCATTTGCAGTCATCAAAAAATCATCAAAAACTGTTGAAGAGATTAGCAGAGGAATCCCCTGAGTTGCTGAGGGACTGAAAAAAATCTGTAAAGTGCTCCCTGCCATCATTTCAAATGCTTCTCATTCTTTTAAAACGCTAAGCTGCATATCATTTTGGCTTTCTTTTTCTAAAGTTGAGTTTTGACTTGCCTTGAATAAACATCATAAATGTGCTGTAGGTACCCAATGAAGTGTCAGTAAACCTTATGCAGCCATAGAAGATAGTCTGCGATTTAGCAGTGCAAAGTAAGGAAAGAAGGTTGCCCAGAGTGATTTGTCTGGAAAAGAACACTTTCTTATTCAGAACAGCAGCAATGTGTGTGTGAGGGTAAGTCCCTACCTGTTAGGGGTAGGAAGTGTGGAGGGGAACATCTCTAACCTGCTACTCTTCTCTTTTCAATCAAATGGTCGAAAATACCAAAGGCTGTCTTCTGGGCTAATGTGCAAAGCTGGCAGAAATAAGGAGGAAGTCATTAGTTGGGATTTTATTCAAGCTAGGAAGGCTAATTATTCAAATAATGTCTTCTGTTTGAGGAAATGTAGGACAGTGCAGCTTGCTTTGACCCTTAGGTCTCTCTTGTAGACAAGGCTGGACTGAATGTAGCTACCCTTTAGGTAAATGATCATTCTCAATGAATGCGCTTTTCTGAATTGTTTTGCTTCTTTTCAATTAAGTTATTTTTTCTCTTTCAAAGAATTACTGATCTCTAACAAAGCATACTGTGAGTTTGTTTAAAAATATTTTAATTTAATTAGATGTTTAGAAAAGTGAAGTAATTTGATTAAGATTATACATTCTTGTAAATGGATAGAGCCCATGAATAGGTAGATCTGTCTAAGCAATGTTATGTGCTTCTGGCCAGAGCACTGAAGATAGTCTCTTGAAAGCTCCTTAAACCTCTGTTGAAAGGAGTTTAAGTATTTTGCAATTAAGTTATCTTTCTTAGCGAATTACAGGTATTACCCTTTAGAAGTTAGTGATCAAAATTTCAATGAGTTAATTCCCAAGCCTGTCAATAAAGGAACCTAACTGTAAAGAATGAAAGAATAGTGAATAATCTTATAAGTAAATAAAATGTCTTACTTCCCCTCAACTAAGAAGGTTTGTCTAACAGAGAAGACTACCAGTCCTCTTGTGCTTAGGCCAAAGGGTAAATGATTTAGCTTATCCTTGTCAATCTTTATTTATTTTTAACATTTGTTCAGTTCTTTGCATCAATATCTCAAAGCTGCCTTCTCACCTAATTGTAAAGTAATCCCCAGTAGGGTGTTAGTTGATGGCTTTAGGGTACCACCACCAAGGGTATTTGCATTTTAATGGAAGGCTTTAAAAGAACTTCAGGCTTCAAGTCTGAGAGCAATAAATCTCTATTGGTGGAATTTGAAGTCTTGTGATAGATAGGGCAGGAGGTACCTCTGGTGAAAGGAGCCCACTGGGTTTATTCTAATCACAGCATGAATTAAAGTGTTCCTACTTTGTAGCCTGACTTCTGCTGCCAAAGGGAAAGCTGTGAGGACAACTCCTGTGGCCTGGATAACGACGTTCTCCTCAGCAGTTTCATGAAAAAATAAAATAAAATAAAACCAGTCAAAGGGTTAAAAGTTCAAATCTTTGAACTTCAGTTTTCCTTTATTACTTTCGTCATGGCTGCTCCCAAATAACTACCCTCTCTCTTGAGGTGTGTAGGAAGAATTATGTTCATACTTTGTCCAAATTTCAAAATTTTGTATGTCTTTTTTTTTATTTTCTAGAAACTTTTTGATCACTGGACGCAGCAAGGCAGGGTACTTGAGGAGTCTAGCAGTTGAGGATGAGGCCGGGAAGCGCGGCTTCGCAAATTGATCAGAATTTATTAAAGAGCGAGTAAGGTGCTGACCTATGTGTCTGCTATATAGTCTTAAGAGCAAAACAGATTCACAGATGACTGAAATCAGTGCCGGAGTGATGATAAGGCTACTGAGTGCCACCATGCATAGATAAATGCCAAATCCTGAAGTGTTTACTAAGAAGAAAGAGCAGGATTCAGGGAAGGAAACTGGAGCTGAGGATGAATCACGTGTAAATGTTAAGGGAGGTGACCTTGGCAAAGTGACCGAAGCAACCCAGGTCAACAGTTAAGCAAAACCGCAGAAAAGCAGGAGTGATGGTATGCGCCTGTAATTCTAGCCCTTGAGCGGCTAAGGCAGGAAGGCAGGGTTCAAGGCCACCCTGCTGATACACAGTGAGATCTTATCTCCAAGAAAAGAAAGATTTAGAAAGAAAGAAAGAAACTCTATAGGACCAAATATAATTTAATGAATGTTTGAATGCAGAATGAATCTGGAAAAGTAGACAGGACCAAGTATTCAAGGGCCTACACTCCGGCCTTGGGGTGTAATTTAATAAGGAAGCACTGACATTTTGACCAAATGTAAAACATGATCAAATACGCTTTTTAGAAAAACTTCTGAAATCGATGAAGAGAGTTGACTATATTCAAGACTCTAGCTCAAAACCAAGTTGGAAGACCTTAACCAGCTGTTAATGGTAGACCACGTAGACAAGCAGGAATGGGATAGCACAGGAGTGTAGAGAACTATCTTCACAGAGACTATACTTGAGTGTGCAAGAAAGAAAAAGGCACAGCTGAGTTGTGGACTTTTGGCTTTGTCATTCAGGTACCATTCTGCTGAACAAGGGAAAGAGGGACGGGTTTTAATGGGGTAGATGCTGAGTTCAGATGTGGACAAGCTGAGTCTTAGATTATTATAGAACATCTAAGCAGGGATGTCTGCTAGATAGGCATTAATCTGTCTGCATCCCAGGAGGAAGAGCTAAGCTGTAGATGTATATTTAGCCATTAGTCCTAGCATCTAAGTGATGACAATAGAAGAGCTCCCTCAAGGAGAATGGAGAGTATCAGAAGGCTGTCAATTGATCCTAAGCGGATGATCAGTTCAGAAGCCAGAAGAATCACGATGAAGAATAAGTACACGAAGCTGGAGATGCACATCAGAAAAACAAGCACGAGAGTACCCATATTGATTCACAAGCCATAAACTTGCAAATCACCCCTCTGTTCTTAAACCAAAGGCCTCCAGGATCTAACTCCAGGCATTAAATCCAACAGTCTCAGTCTCTGCTATTCTTGCTGCTTGATTGTTTTTGTTCACTTGGAACAGTCTTTTACATCCATGCATTCCTGTGCATTCACTGCTTTCTCATGTCACTGAAATGTGCTTTTCTTCTGCACATGCAGAAGAATTTTCTCTAGTGTATCACTGTCATCATTCCCTGAACATGGAAATATCCCCAGCCTATGTTCCAGTTAGTGCACAGACTGAAACTTTCTTATGGGACTTAGCACATTACAATTTGCATCATAGTTATTTATGCAAGAGCCTCTTCCCCCTTGGCAAGAATATAAGCTCCTGAAGAGGAAGAACTCATTCCCCCAAATTAGCCTCCATAGTGCACTGCTTTGAAAACAGCAGGTACTTGGTAATTATTTGTTCAATGACCACATATATTACTTACACAAAATAAAAGAAAGAAGGTTTGTGAATCTTTTGATGAGGCAAGGGACCTTGGCTAAGGCAAACAGAAACTCTTATTTACAAAGGATATATGTATCTGATGGTTTTGATATATCTAGGCACATATTGGCCAAATAAATAATGAAGAAGCATGTCAAAAGCACATTCATAACACAGAGGCAAAATGTGAGAACAAAATGCTAAGTATTCTCACATACTTTAAAGATTGTAAATACCATATTCTTGATGCTATTTTCTTCCAAAAATAATGAATCCTTTTATTTCTTTATTTGTTTTACAACTTAAAAAATTAATCTTCTATAATGTGCAAGTAACAGATAAATAATTCTAGAGCATAAACACGTTTTTATTTTTCCTGAAGACAGATATAAGATGCTACATAGGCAGTTTCTCAATGATGTTCTACAAGTAATAAGAAGCCTTTTCAATTTATCCTAGTATATTAAAAATAAAGCAACTTTGTAGTGTTGTTCGCTTACATAGAATAAGGGTTAAATGATAACTTGACTTATCTTTTAAATGACAAAAATAAAGAAATTGCAAGACCTTTTCACACATTAGATATGTATTGTCATTTATCATCTAGATATCAGGCCAGCAGTGCGAAGTAATAAAACATATCATCGAAAAATGTGCTATAGGTCTGAATCACTCTTTCATTCCACCTCCCAGCTAACTGTAGTATTAAATCAAACAAGCAGAACATTTCCTTAGGCAGCCATTGCCTTTTAATTTCCTGAAGAACCTTAAAATATCATTCATTACAAGTACTACACATATTTGGTTTTTAAAAGTCTCATAAATCAATAGCAGGCTGACTGTAATAATTATTACAAGTTAGTGCATAATTTTCGTGCTGAAGGCTGCATGCAGAACTTTAGCATATGCAAACGAGGCAATTCAAACTGTGTATAGATATTAATATGAAGAAGCAGGTAACGAGGTGCAGGCTATGAATTATGCATCAGGAGTGGCTGATCTTCAATGAGGAAAATGAATTCAGCATGTAATCTAATTAGTGATGGAAGTCTATTACATCTAACTGCAAAAGCAACCGTCCTTGAAACAAATTTATTTACAGTCCATGTTACCACTTGAAACAACTTTGAAATGATGTGTAAGACAACAGCTTAATTGTAAAATTTTTTGTTTGTTTCAGTTCTAGACCTGGAAGACCCCCTAAGAGGACTCAGAGTGTCACATCCCCAGAGAACTCTCATATCATGCCACATTCTGTCCCTGGCCTCATGTCCCCTGGAATTATTCCACCAACAGGTAAGTGTACTGCTTAGTTATGCCCGAAATGCTAACATCAGCCAACATCGTAAGCTTTTATCCATGCCCATCATTGCAGAGATATTTACATGCTTCAGTAATATTTTATAAACACTAACATAATATTCTGATGAGAATTTATTTAAAAATGCAACCTGATTACCACCATTTCTTCATTTAAAATAAAGCGAAACAAGCTTTAATTGAGCAAAGTACTAGAAATCACTTTATTTAAACCTCACACACATTTCCAAAAGCAAATTATGAGACTTCTTTTTTTTTTTTTTTTTAAACTAAAGATTAGATGCTCATAGAGAAGCAGTGACTTTCTCAAGGTCAATCAGCAGACTGTTCTCAGTGGTTATTCAAACCGTGGTCCCTGGGTTTTAAACAATTCTCATTCCATAAGAACTCAGAGACGTACATCCAAAAAGAAGACGAGAAAGTTGGCAAATAGACATGAACCATATAGCAAATAAATTTCTGTTAGAGCCACTTAAAATTTTTGGAAAAAAAATAGTGTGGACTTCATATATTGCTTACTATAAACAACTTCAATAACACAACATAGCAAAATAACTCATTTTTGGACGTATTAATTTATGTGCTTCAAATTATTTTATTTTATGTTTATGCGTGTTTTGCATGAATATCTTTAAGTGCTGACACATGTGCCTGGTGTCCAAAGGAGCTAGAAGAAGGTGTTAGATTTCCTAGACCTGGAATTATGCACTTTTGTGAGCCACGATGTGGGTGCTGAAAACTGAACTTGGGTCCTCAGCAGGGCCAGCAAACACTCTTAGCCACTGAGCCATCTCTAGCTCTTCTATGTATGTGTGTGTGTGTGTGTGTGTGTGTGTGTGTGTGTATGTTCCCACTTTTAGTTTCCATCAGGGAAAGAGCCAGATCTATGATCAGATTAAAATAATGATGATATTATATAACCTGTATAACTCTTGCTTCTGCAGGAGAGAAATATATGAATGTTATGTAATACAATTCTAACATTAGAAATCTCAAGATGAAAGAAACCTTTATTTCTCTTTCTTTTTATTTGGCAGGGGACATGGGGTGTCATGTTCTTGTTGTGTAGCCCAGGTTGGTCTCTGATATGTAGTCCTTCTGCTTTGGTCTCTGGAGTGCTCAGTTAGAGATATGCTCCACTAACTTGGTTAAAACCTTAGTTTTCCTCTTTGAACGTCTGTATCAATACTGTCTTTTTCTGCAGAACATTAGTCTTTTTTGTGTGTGTTGTATAACCATAAGTCATCTGGCTTTACATTCTATTGTTTGGTTAAAGTTTCTTGTATTTAATGATCCTTTCTGTTACATCTTTATTTTTTGGACAGTATTTGAAGGTTTTGTTCATTTTTGTAGGGATTTATCAAACATAATCTGAGTTGTTTTACAATATTTGTTCCTTCTCTATATTTAGTGTTGTTTATGTTCTGAAGGGTTCTCTCTCTCTCTCTCTCTCTCTCTCTCTCTCTCTCTCTCGTGTGTGTGTTTGTACGTGTGTGTGTGTGAAGGTCAGAGGAAGACTTCGGGTGTCCAGCTCTACCATTTTCACCTTCATTCCTTGGAACAGACTGCCACTGAACCTTGAGCTAGACTGGCAGTCAGAAAGCCCCAGTGATCCTCTGTCCCATCTCCTTGAAATTCTGGGGTAACATGTGGGCATGCCACCTTTTACTTTTTTTATGGGTGCTGGGATTTGTACTAGGCTCCTTTAGCTTCTTACCCACAGGTCCACCTCTTTAGCCTTAAATGAAATTATCCTTGAGCTTTGAATTTTTATGCTAGTTCTATGAGAGCATAACTATGAGAGAGAGGAAATGGAATTGTGAGTTGAAATGACCAGTATCAAGTTACAAACCAGTTTCACCATTTCTATTTGCTTAGTTCAGCATGTTTTTCAGAGCAGTGAGTCCTATTTTCTGACATTTTAATTCCTAATTTGGCATTTGAAAAAGAAATGAGTAGTGTCTTTTTAAAAATTTTTATTTATTATTTTTATTTTATGCCTATGAGTATATTGCCTGCACCCAGCATGTGCAGTGCCCGTGGAGGACAGAAGAGGTTGTCGGATCCCCTGGAACTGGAGTTAAGAACAGTTCTAAGCTGCCATGTGGGTGCTGGGATTCAAACCCGGGTCTTCTGCAAGAACAGTCAGTGTTCTTAACCGCTGAGCCATCTCTCCAGCCCATGAGTAGTATCTTATAAGCCTTTTTCTAGTCATATTTGACTCGTTGATCAATTGTCCTTTTGTCACTTTTTTTGTTCTTTTGACAAATGCCCAAGAAAAGCATCTTTCAAGGAGGAATGGTTTATTGTGGCTTATGGTTTCAGTCTGTGATCCCTTGGCCCTGTTGTTTCTGGGTCAATGTGACCCAGAACATCATAGGGAAAAGGAGGTAGAACAGAGGTGCTCACCTCCTGGTGATCAGGAAGCAGAGGAGTAAGAGAGACCATGCATGTGTTACCAGGTTTCCTCTTTCCTGTGTTTTTATTAAATCCTGGCCCCAGCATCCTGTCCCCAATATCCAGGCCCCCACTATATGGATAATGAATCCCGTCTTCAGGGCAGCCTTTCCTTCTCTGTTATTGTTGCTTTTGTTAGTCACCTCTGGAGGCACTGTCACAGACTAATCCACAAATGTGCTTTACTAATTTAGGTACCTCTCAGCCCAATCAGGCTGGCAAAATTAACTGTGACAGTGCTTCTTTGAAATTTTTGTTGTTGTTGTCTTTTAGATTTCATGTGCAAAATTCGACTTTGAGTATGTTTTATAGGTGAAACACTCAAGCATAAGAAAAGAAAGACCTGAGCATATTTGACATAAGTAACTTTAAATGGATTTTCTAAATGGTTATTTTAATGATCATTTTTTTCTGTACTGGATTAAGCTTATGTGGATTTTCAAATGTTACTTAGTTACAGGACACATTTTTGCATTGTATTTATATTAAACTAGGCAAGATATGCCTCCAAATGTATTTCTAATATATCATCTTTTAAGGTGAAGATAATACATACTTTATTACCAAAGCAATAATTAGAAAGATAATGACTTCAAAAATTTCAGTGTAGCAACATGTCAATAACACCATAATGAACTTTGGAGTAAGTGAAGTTTCAAATAAAACAAGTCATTGCCAAAATCCACTAATCAAAATAGTAAGGTAATTTAAAAAAAAGCTTCTTCCTAAAATGTATCATTTGTTCCTGTATGAACAAAGATGCTGAAGGTTGTTTCGAATTGACTCATTAGTTTTCAAGTTCTCTTTTAGCATACTTCTTTTTTAAACTTTGTTTTTTGTGAAATACTATAAAGCCAGAAATAGCATTTTGTCAAGCTTGCCAAACAGTATAATGAAAAGACAGTCTTCAGTCATGCTTAAGACTAAAGGTAGGAATGGAGGCTCATGAGGAGTTTGACTGGAGGATAAAGGGAATTTAGGAGAGTAAGGAATTGTTTATAACCTGCAAATGACTTTCAACAGGTTTGTAAGCTTACTACAACCTAATTCACCTAATTTCTTCTTTTGGACAATGATCCAAAATTTTGAGGTTGCCAACGTACATCTGTTGCTTGTGAATGGTGTTACCTTAATATAATTAATTTAATTTCTTTTCTTACTTCTTTTTTAGATGGAAAAGTTTAACTTTGTCAAATACAGAATAACACCTTCAGATACTGGGAGCATATTATTTAATATCTCATTAACTGGAATTCTAATCTTACTAAAGAAATCTTACAGTTCTCAGCTGCAGGATGTCACATACCTATAACCTATGGTAGAGGGCAGGTAGTTCAAGATCAAGATCAGCATCACCTAAACCATGAATTCAAGACTAGCCAGAGTTAAGTGAAACTCTGTATCAAAATTAATAAGAGACAAAAGCAACCAAGCAACTAAACAAACTGAAAAGAAATCTTACAGTTTTCAAAAAGTATATCACTTACAAAGCACTCCTTGCATGGGAGGATGCTATTCAATATTAAGACATAGATGTTATATCTCAGGACTTTATTTATATTTGTGATTTTTATTTCAAATATATATTTTTTGTCTCGCAATAAGGAAGGTAAGATGCTATTTATTTTTCAAAACCTTAACGAGAGAGTTCTTTATCCTCAACATGAAGGAAATGAGTTAGATAATATTTATTATACTGTATTTATTCTGAATTTGAATTTCATATTTGTTTCTGATAATCTGTAGTTTTGAATTTCTTCAAAAGCAATGGAGGTCTACATATGCCTAAAATGAATGAAACAATCAAAGACACAGAAATATCAACTTCAGAATACAAAGAAAGATACAAACAGTAATCACCTTGAGTTTCAAGTGCTTGGGTCCAAGTGGCAGCCTGTGCATAGACATTCATCTGTGCTTTTTAATTTCTACAAGTAGTAATATTTAAACAGAACAAAAAGTTGCAAATTTGGCTAACTTGGTCTCAGGAATAGAAACTCAATTAGTTTAGATGAATTCATAAACATCTACAGATTTGGTCCTGCTCACGCAATTATCTTTGTATTCAAAAAATGATCATTGGAATTAAATAATCATGTTTCCTTTAAAAACATTAATAGTATTTTAGGTATTTATAATTTAAAAAGAAAAGAAAACCCTGTGAGATTGCCTATGGTATTTTTATTTGTTTATAATTTTCATTGCTTGAGTAGGCCTGTGTGTAACCTTAGAAGAGGACATGAGTAGGTGGTGATAATTTCCAAAAGTTATGGTTGTCATCAGATACCATAGCAACTTGAAGTTGCAGTTAATGAAAGGAAAAAGCCTCTTTGTAGAAACTCACAAGGCAACACCTCCTGCAGTGGTCACTACATTTATTTGGACTGAGTACTTGCCATAAATCATTTTTGAAATATGGACCAGTTTCGAATAAATTCATCCTAACAACAGATTTCTAATGACATTCAGACGTTTTACAGAATCATGTCTATTTTGCAATTAAGGAAAGGATATTTAGG